AGGCTGTCCCTGTCAGTCCCTTGTTTTTTTCTTTTGTTTCCACGTCCACTTTCACTTAAAATACAAACAGAATCTGGATGCTTCAGATCCTGTTGAGTCCCAATGTGCTACAACAGAGTGACCTTCAAAATGTCTCTTTGGCTCTGCTGGTAATTAGAACAACCACACTCATTAGCCAACAACTGTCAACCTCCTGTGATTTTGTCGGTTTACCCAAGAAGCTTCGTGTACCAGTGTGAGCTAACATGGTTATACATGGAGAACATCAAAGTGCTCTACAGAACATATGGTTATGAATGCGAAAACAAAATCTAAATAATTACTCACAATTCCCTTCTCGGCCTCGGACCAGGCCCTTTTTGTTTGGCTTTCATTAAAATGTCAAAACGACTCTTTACAACGTATCTCATCTTTACAGCAGGGACAAACAGCGGGTTGAAATGATAGCGTTCCCTCGTGTCCATTTAAAAGAGTCTGTAGTCATTCTCCCTGGTGCAGTGTCTCTTACAGTGCCACATTAACACCTTCTCAGCTCACTGATTCCAGAGCTCCTTTTTTAGGGAATCAAACACACTCAGTACAGCACAACTGGGAATAACCCCCCGATTTCTCCTGGCTGTAAGGGGTGAGGGTGTGTGAGTTCGTCCCCTGAGATTGTCGAGTGATTACTCACATATTACAGTGTTCGAGCTACCATGTCACATTAAAAGAGCGCTTGCTCCTAATAGCATCTTTAGCCACCTTCCTTCCACCTCTCCCTCTCTTTTTCTCTCCTTTCCTTTCTTTTTCTACCTGAATGACTGTTAAAATGACCTCTGAACAAAAGGTCAAGTGCTTCTCTGCAGACTTCATTTTTTTTTTATTTAAGGGCCAGAGCTACAGTATAGAGTGCTTCAAGGTAGCCTAGCATGAAATTGTAATGCCGTGATAAACAATAGGTGCAGGCTTCACTGTTACACAGATGTAGAGTGTGGGTTTTGCGTAGGTGTGGGCCGGTAATGCACATGTGTAATTTCACAAGGACCCACATCGCCCTGCAATCATGTGTGTTCAAATGTGCACATGAAATTGATTCTGTGCTGAATGAACCGTGGTTCTATGATATTTTGAGTAAAAAAAACTAAACAAAAAAACAAGTAAAAAAGTTATAAAGATATTTTTAAACAGTATTATAATATGCAAATAAAAAACAACAACGGGGTCTCCCTGTTCGATGTGAACTCATTAATTTTCAAAGTGAGCTGGCGCCTTCAGGTGAAATGAGCTACAGGCGACAAGATGTTGGCATGTCCAGTGATGTGACAAAGTTGAGAAAAGTTTAACTTTATGCAAATGTGCAGTGACTACCAATGAATGAAGACAGTGGAACTCTTGTCTCCTGGCAGCTATTATGCTTGAGTGTCAGTAAGATGCAAGAGAAGTTAATCTTTGCAGTGAGCAACTTCCTGAATGTATATGATATGTCACTGATTTGGTATGTGATCATTTGATATTGGACTATAGATAATTGACATTTTTTTTAAAATCTAAATTATATTAAATGTATGGTTGTAAATTGTGTGCATGTGTTGGAGTGTACCACATATCCCGTGGGCCCCACTAGAGATTTGATTTTTGAATGAATACTGTGATTCAATGATGCTCCACTCTAAAAATTTGCCTTCACATCATAGGAAAGAATTTGGACTTATAAAGGTTCCTTACCATTTTTACTCTATCAGACAGCAAGAATCATATATTCCGTGTGTACTTTATCGGCAAACTGAATTGTGTCATTCCTGTGACTGACATAAATAGAATTGCAGAATGTTTGGCTGCCAGACTGAGCTTTGTGTTGGTCAGCACTGTTACCAATGGCCAATTTGGTTAATGGCCAATACCAATTTCTATAGAAATGCTTGGATTTTGCATCAGCAGCTTTAACTGCGCCTGCACCTTTAATAGGCAAGTGTTCCATATGCACTAACATACATTAAAAATGCTCAAATATGTTGATTAAATAATTTTTAAATGTGAACTTATTCATTTACGAGTTTAAAGCATGTTTGGTGATGCAGTTCCCTTATCCAAGACAATTTCTTTGATGGAAAACAATAAAAATAACCTTAACCTTAATATATAGGCCTAGGCCTGTAATATATGATATCTTACAATTAATATATAATATTTATAATTATAACACCACTAAAAATGAACTTTTAACACCAGGATATCACATTATTCGGATATAAAATAATTGGAAAGGAATCTCAGTGGACCGCTCACAGCTCTCAGACGCTATTGTCCTTGAACCTTGAGAGCTTACTTTGCCTTTTATTTAATAAAAAAATAAATAAATGCCGTGTAATCAGTAGCCGCTTGTAATGTGAGCTAAAGATAACCAAATTTCATCATTTTCAACACCGCCTCCCATTCAAGGGGGAGTAACTCTGTGCGGTGGAATTTTATCAGACGTGATTTGATTGGCCCTCCGCTAATCCCCCTTCTCTGCGAACTAATTTTCCATTGGACGTTCTCACTGTCAATCAGGCTGTCTGTGCCCGCCCACCGGTGGCGCCAAATAAGGCACATAGTACCGCTGTGTGTGTCAGTAGCCCGGACGGCTCCGTCTCATCCCGCACCGTCAGTCAAGCGTGCTCGGCTGCGACATGACCAGAGCCCCGCAGACCTGGCCACTCAAATATGGAGCAGTTTAAAGCGATCATTTTGGTGCTTTGGATATTATTGCTCTACAGAATTGAGGAGTCCCGTGCAGAGGAAGGTATGTGTCTTTATAGTTGTTTAGACGCCAGGTAAATTGTTTCCGTACATGGCGTGAAGTGTCTAGTGGAAGTATAACTCTAACTGCAGGCGTGTGCTTTTCATATTCCGGCGCTGTAAAGTTAATAAACAGATACAGAGAGGACTGAATCAGTGCTGTGTTTGCATTATGAGAAGCTTTGATTAAAACTTGAAATCGAAATGACAGTCGGCGTGCTTTTAAAAACAATGATCCTAAGGAATGCGCTATAGGACGCTTTTGACAAGCTGCAACAATGTGTTGTTTAAGGGGAAAATGTTCATAAATAAATAGTTGAAAATGAACGAATATGGTTTTGTGTTTGAATTGCTTAGTTAGGCTACTAAAACAAGCAAATCACAATAAATTGTGGTTGTGTATTGTTTCAAAACAAAATTGTCTATATAAACAGTTTTTAGTATTGTAATATGGAGGTTAAAATTACAAGATAAATGTTTAAAATAAAAAAAGATAATTAGACAATCATGTACTACTGTATGTGCATATATTTTTTAATGATCTTTATTTTTAAAATAAAATGTACATATATGTTTCTGTTTTGTCATAATCTGTTTATTCTTTTTCCTCTGTCTTGTCATTTCTCTTGGTCATGTCTTCATTTTTCGTTGTCATGTCATTTTAATCTCCTTATTATAATACTACAAAAGCAGATTTCAATAGATCAGGCTGTTATACTGGATTCACAATAGGTGCTTTTCTGACTGTGCTGCTCCTGGTGGGATTGTTTGACAGTCATGAAAGCTTCAGCAGTTTTGATGCCAGGCTGTCGCATTAGGCTCAGGTGAGGTCAACTAAGCGTCCTAATGAGTGGCATGGCACAGAGAGGGAAAGAACAGATAATAGCTGCGTCCCTTCAGGCTGTTTGGCTATGCTGAAGAAGCCCAGCTGAGCCAGGCTGCTCTCTCTTGCTTTTTTCCCCTTCTTGCACTCTCGTACACAATGCTCTCATGTGCACATGGTTGAACTCTGCCAGCCCCCGTCCGTCTTCTGCTGGAATGCTGATCGACTGGATTGGAATCGTTGCCTTAATGAATGTTTTGACTGCGATTAATTGCTGTGAAAGCAATGTGTTCTGAAAGGCCTTGTGTGGCTGTGGTGATTATGGAGGTTTTCTGATTGAGCTGAATATGTTCTCACTGTACGGAGAACCTCTTTGTCCACAATTACATCCTAGTCCTGCTGCGTCGGTTCTCTTTGTATTCAGCCCCACTGTATTCGGTCGCTGACAGGTGGGATTCAGACTGGATGAGAGCTCTTTGTTGGTGCACATTAAACAAAGAGCTAACATAAAAGTGAAAATTGTAGTCATTTACTTACCCTCAAGCAATTTCTAAACTCCTATGTGATGACATAGCATAGCATATGTCATCTATTCTATGGTTTATTTAGGATCAACAAGATTTATTTTTAAATAAATGAATACTTCTATTCAGCAAGGATGCATTAAATTGATTGAAAGTAACAGACATTTATAATGTTACAAAAAGTGATATTTTCGATAAATGCTGTTATTGTGAACATTCTATAAATGCTGTTATTGTGAACATTCTATTAGCAAATATTAAGTATATTATCAACGTTGATATTAATAAGAAGTTTCCTGAGCACCAAATTAGCATATTTGACTGATTTCTGAGGGACACAGTGAGACTTTTGACAGTCTCAGCTTTGCCATCTCAGGAATAAATTGCATTTTAAAAATCTATTATAATAGACAACAGTTATTTTAAATTGTAATAATATTTCACAATATTAGTCTACTTTTGATAAAAAAAATGCAGCTTTGGTGAGCATAAGAGACGTCTTTGAAAAACATTTTTGTTTACTTTCAATTTTAAATAGTGTATATATACAGTATATATCATGGGAAAAGCTCCATCCATCTCTCATTTCTTTTTCTTTTTCTTTTAATGTGTCCTTTCCCATTCCCCAAAGCGCAGGTGTCTTTCCTCACATAGTCAGTTGGAGGTGGAGGCTCCTCATTCCTGACCCTTCAGCCTTAACGCACCTTGGCATCTCATTGTGGGCTTATTTACTGCTTTTTAGTGGGTTTGCGGTTGTTGCGGTTGTGGCCATGTGCCGTCGCATCTGCCGCGTTGGTCATGCTGTTCCTGTGCCGTTTAAGTACTCTGTCAGGGTGCAATTCAGACCATATGAGGGCACTTACCTAGGAAAGCTTTATACGCCTGTCATCTCTGTGCTGGGTTCCATCAACAGACTCTGCCAAACTCCTCCTGAATGGCATTATGCTCTCTGAGTTGTTGGCAGAAGTGTAAAATCTGGACTTGGGCTCTGAATGTGTTAACAATGTGGCAAAATCATCATTTATCGATTCAAACAAAGACCAGTTAGCATGGAAATTCATACCGGTGCGGTGCATTTATTAAAAGCATGATTTTTAGTCCTGGCTAATGGTGACGGGTTAGACTGTCTGATGTCTGTGCTTGCGGTGCCTGTACTTGTCGTTGAAGGTGGCAGTCGGACTGTGCGGGCAAGGTTAGAGTGATTTGTGAGGTTGGCAGGCGTAACTGTGACATCCAGGAGTTTACTTAGTGGGCCGTTGTGATGTGTGGACTCAAAATGAGCAAGAAGGAAAGTAAAACAATGAGGCCTGGAGACAGGAGATGGCTGTGTCTGAAAGTAGAAAAATGCTGTTTTCGTAGGCAGTGTATGGAGGTAGAAAGGTGAGCCGTTTCCGAATTGAATGTTTGCGCAACATCCTAGCTCTATTTTAGCAGCCTAACTGCCTTCTATGGCAGCATCCTAACTGAAACAGAACCACATAAGCGATTGATCTGGAGCGCTCTATATAGGCAGCAACTTGTGCGTCATAGAAATAGTGTCATGGAAGACAACTAAAAATTGATTTCAGTGCAGGCGATGTGAGAGGAATAGAGGTGCAATGGATCACAAAACTCACGGTTCGGATCATATTACGGATTTTGAGTCACGGATCGGATCATTTTTCGGATCAGCAAAAAAAAAAAAATTAGTGAAAGCTTACTTTAAGTACTTCTATACCACAGCAAAAACTACTAGCTTAACTAATAAAGTTAGTAATAAAACAAGAACAATTACACAAATTACAAGCATAGATGAATACAACAAAACACAGTTAAAAATAAAGTCAGTAACTGTAGCATTCTTGTGCAGAAATATAATTATTAAGTGTAAAATAACACAATAGTGCTCACTGCACAAGTTAAATACAGATTAATCTTTGTTAGAGCTGTGGTGTTATTTGATTAGCAGACAGAAACAGGTATTTATGGGGTGCTGTCTCTTTAAGACCAAATGCA